TGACTATAAAATCACCAAATAATCAAGTAGGTGAAAGTAGGTTCACTTAGCACTAACGAATATTTTCTTTAATATACTGATATGGTTTGGCTGTGTCCCCATCCAAACCTCATCTTGAATTTACCTACTTTAAACGAGGACTGTGGTAAGAAAATGCCTGGTTCTTCAGTATTAATCAGTGATTTACCCAAATACTATTTATACCTCTACTCTACAAGTTTAGAAAGAAATTAAGAATGTGCTCAAGTCTTACTTGAAAGATGCAGCATAATCCCAACACGTTGTGGGAGGGACCCAGTAGGAGGTAATTGAATCATGGAAGCAGATTTTTCCTGTGTTGTTCTCACAGTAGTGAAAGTCTCATGAGATCTGATGGTTTCATAAAGGGCAGTTCCCTTGCACATGCTCTCCTGCCTGCCACCATGTAAGATGTGCCTATGCTTCTCCTTCACCTTCTGCCATGATTGTGAGGCCTCCCCAGCCATGAGGAACTGTGAGCTCATTAAACCTATTTTTCTTTATAAAAAAAAAAAATAATAAAAAAATAAATTTTGATTAGCTGGGCATGGTGGCTCACGCCTGTAGTCCCAGCTACTAGGGAGGCTGAGGCAGGAGAATTGCCTGAACCCAGGAGGCGGAGGTTGCGGTGAGCCGAGATCGCGCCATTGCACTCCAGCTTGGGTAACAAGAGCGAAACTCCGTCTCAAAAAAAAAAAATAAATAAATAAAAATAAAAATAAATAAATAAATAAATAAATTTTGAAAACCTGAAAAAATATATCAGTCATTGACTTTATTGCCCTGATACATATTAATGGCAACTTCACCTGTTGGGAAATGGCTATAGGCCTTCAATTTAAAACTTTGATTGTCAACCTTTTGTGTTTGCGGGATACTTAAAAAAAAAAAAAAAAACTGAATTATTTAATGGTACTCTTGTTGAAATTAAAGTATAAAAAAGTTATAGAATATTGAGGACATATTCCCACACTTGTTGAATTAGTTGTTTGTGATTTGAGAAGAACTAAAAAATTCTTTACTATACTGATCATATTCTCTGATGTAGTCATAATGCAAATTTCTTATAATTTCTGGCATAGAGGGCATCTTTCTTTAACACTAGCATGCTTTCACAAGAAGCCTTATCACTTTTTTGCAGCAACTTGTTCCCCAACCCACTGAGTATGCAATGTTCTGCCAGAGACATCACTGTAAGAGTATGTCATGTCAAATGTAGCAAAAATTGGTTTTACATGGTATTAGGTATAAAGTGCTTTTGAGGACTGTTTCTTGCTTCCCTGAGAATGCTGACAAGCAGAGTAAACTAAGTGCTCCAATTTTCTAGGTTCAGAAAATGATCCATTGTAGTCAGCTTCTGCAGGGCCTGCTAGGAAAGGGCACAGCAAAAACACCATTTCTGAAAACCCCAATCCCCTGGACCATATCTAGAGGACAACAGAAGGTAAGAGGGAGAATTCTCAAAATTGTAGTTCTCCGTAATTCCACCCCTTCATGTCAAGAGGAGGAGAAAGGCATTGAATTCTCTCTCATCCCTGCCTTTTACAGGTGGTCCTGGAGTACGGAGAAAAGGAAAAGAAAAAAACAGCTAAGGTGCCAGAGGAAATTGCCAAAGCAGCTTGTATTCCCTCACAAATCAAATGTATAACATGGAACTCACCTGACACTTACATCATCTTGTCAGTGCTCCAACGGTCAAACCCACAAAGAAAAGGGCCCCAGGCGACAAGAGGGTGAAGGGTAGATTGTTCTGAGACTAGGACGAGGTGATGTTGAGGACTTTGAGACAAGAGTGTGAAATTTTCATAATTGAATTGCATCACAGAAATAATCACATCAGCCTATATTTTTCACCAAAAATGAATGAAAAGAAAATTATGTCTGTTCTAGGCAAATGGAGGTCAAAGGCTGCTCTAGATGCAGAATGTTATATTCAGACTTAATCTATATCAAGATTCATGTTTGTGCATAACTGCATTGAAACTCCTGGCTCAAACTGACTTACTTCCCTAACATTAACATTTGAGAGCACATTTGTAACATGACTTAGTATAATGCACTGTGGATGATCAATCAAGGGTCAGCAGTCTATGTTCTTATCAGATAAAACAGTAATATTGCTTATTTGTGTACAACTCTGCGTAAGAAATTTCGCTTAGATAGACATGACTGCTAAGAAAAACTAAAATCCTTTCCCAAAACCAGGCATATCATTTGATGTTTTATAAAATTATCTGTTTGTCTGGGATAGTTGGAAGTTTTGATTCAGGCTTACTTTAGGCTTTCTCAAAGTTACTGTTATGTTTAACATATTTGCCTTCTTTTGATTGCAATGCCTTTGTCATATTTTATGTTAACATTTTGTGTCGACCTATCTAGGCTATCTATCTTCCTAAGCTATCTATCTATCTATCTATCCTATTATGTATATTATTATACCAAAATCTTCCTGCAAATGTTGATGTCTAAATAAATTTAATAATGTTTCTTAGATACCCTTCATTTGTTATTGATTTGGTCACCTGTTATCCATAGAACTTAGAAATATATTTGTAGATAAAGTTACAGATGTATAGACAGATTGATAGAGAGATAATGCAGTTATATAAAAGTATACATACAAAATTCTAATCATATAAATATGTAACCATACATATACTAATTTTAGTAAATTTCTTTTAACTTTTTATTTTCTAATATGAACAAAAAGAGTTGGTGATGATGGTGTCTGAATGTGTGTACCCAAATATAATCTCACAACTACAAGTTCCCAACACAGTTGGAAACATCATTTATCTACCGAATTCTTCTGTTTTTTTTTTTTTTCAAAGCAATATTGTTTATAACTTCAAAAATAAATCCAAGGAACAATCCAAATGTCCATGGTAGGAAAATGGATAAATTGTGGCAATTCAAAACAGTGAAAATAATATAACATGCACAAAACAAGGATGAATCTTAGTACCAATGCTGAGTAAATAAAAAGCAAGACACCAAAGACTACAGACAATATGTACCATTTGTATAAACCTCAAAAACAAGCAAAAATAAACATATTCTTTCAGCCAATGTGTATATAAACTCCTTTTTATAAAGAAAGAAAAGGAATGAAGAAATGATTATTACAACAATCAAGATAGTTACCTCTGGGTCACAGCTATGGGGACAGGAACAAGGAGGGACACACAGGAGCTTCAGTGGTTTCTGGTAATGTTCCGATTCTTAAGTTAGGCCATGGGTGGTTCATTTTATTATTAAGCCTTCCTATACCTTATATACATATATATGTAATACGTATCACATAATACCCATTGAGAATTTAGAAAAACTTGACTGCAAAATGGGATTTGTAAAAATATTTTTATGTAAAATATTTTCAGAACATTAAACAATACTTTGAAGAATTTAGCTCTGCTCTGCCTGCCTCCAAAGCCAGCAAATATGGGATTATTTTCTATTGTTCCAATGACTGTAAGAATAGCAGAGGCCAAGGAAACATCTCTTGCATGAGAGTTGTCATGGAATCAGATTTGTTGTAAAGAATCATTTCTATTCTGGACTGTCCGCCAGCAGAAGGAATACAAAGACAACATATGCATATATAACATCAAGATTATCGCTGGTTCCTCTATACCAGCAATAATCACAAAGAAAATGCTACCGAACATCCAAACAGCCACAATAACCATCAGTGATTTTATTGAAGACTTATTCACAGTATTTTGACCCGAGAAATGGTAATTGTAACATACCCCTTTAGGCGCCCACATTGATTTAACAGTCCTGCAGTCCTCTCTTTAGGCTTTAAGATAATTGTGATTTCAACGCACCCCAGATACTTCCTTTGGAAGTGGAGCCAGGCCTCAAGACTGTTCTCAGTCACTGCTCTCCCACATCTGATTACAGACACTGCCTCTGCTTCCATTATCCCAGCAGCTGTCTAGTGCACTTGAACTACAAAATAGGCCCTCACTTCTTTCCTAACCCAGCTCCGTCTTGGTAAACTGTAACAGACAGACAGGAGTCCCCAGGGGCACAAAACAGTTTCTTTCCAGATGATCTTAAAGGAAGGGGGGAAAAGGAAGCATATGTGCTAATGGAGCTTCTGTGGCTGAAACAGTTTATCTGCAGATGCCTAGCCACACACTGATCAATTTGTTCTGCAGTAACTGAAAATTTGTGATTCATCTGAAGGCAGTGAGAAGTGGTGTGTCCATCTGAAGGGGGTCAGGGCTCTTATCTGACTAAGCTGGTACTTTAGCCCATAAGTGAAACAAAATGGCACTGTTTAGAACTACCTCAGATTCAGTTAAATTTCCAACTTACTGAAATATTTTCTCTGACAGATTCTATGCTGGTCTCTAAGACTTGAGAGAAAATAAAAATACCAAATTAAAGTGACAAGTTAATTAAGGCAGCGGACTATTGGGAGAAAAATAGGAAAGTTGTATGATCCCAAAACTGGATGGGAAAAAACAAACAAACAAAAAACGTATTTCAGGGACACTCATGAGTGGCCACAGCACAAAATTCCACAGTAGGACTCGCCTGGCCTCGACAGCAGCATCGGCACAACCTCAAGTGATGCCCAGAGAAGACAAATTCACTTGAAATTTCATTCAAGATTTTCCCAGGACCAGTTTTTAAGAGTGTCTGGACCTTTGTCGGCCAGAATTTATTAAGGAAGCAAGAGGGTTAGGTTTAAATTCTGGGAGGTCCAGGCAACATCAGAGCCATTTCCTGTTCCTGGGAGCAGAAGCTAGTGAGTTTCTGGTCCTCCTTTGAGCTCTAATTCTTGCTGGTTTGAGGCTAATATGCTAGAGCACATGCCCCCCAGCAGCACTCTTCATCCTTCTCTTACAGCCAAGAAAAAGATGTTTAACAATGCCGAGGTGCCTTTTAAGTGCTCCTAAGACAGCTTCAACGCAGCTTTGGACAAGGGACACAGAACCTCAGAGAAACCATACAATGCAATCCCTATGGCACCATAATATTAATTTATTCTGGGAATTCTGCCCTTAGTCAAAACCACACAGTCATGAATACATAAACACCACTTTTGGAGCCATCTAACAAAGACTCGAGCCTCAGCCCAGAGAAAACGGGGGAGAACAGGAGAGCCGACCACGGCAAGTGCTTCGCCTAAGTCTTACTGGTGAGCGTCCACAGTGGCAAGCAGGCCTTGTTTGTAATGGTCTCATCTGAAGAGCTACACAGCAAGGACACTGCAGATATCAGGCCATGCCATCTACATGGTTAGAAGAGCCAGAGATACCTAAATTGTGGGCAGTGAGGCCTGTAAAGACTTTAAGAGAAGAAGCAGAATCCAGACTGTGAGAAAAAGAGTCTGTGAAGACATCAGACCTGGACAGGCTGCAATCTCTTATGATTATTTCCTGTGTGGCTGTGAAGGTTAATGGGATAAAGCCCTCACTGTCAGCAGAGAGAAGAATGCAGTGGGAATCATGCAGCATTTCAATGAGAGAAAGGCCAAAAGTCTGCTCAACTGTACTGAGCCTTAGTTTACCATTGCAGAGAAGCACCGCTCTTTTTTCAACAACAGGACCTAGATAATAAGGTTTCTGGCAAATGATGTGAACATATGGAAGATCTTGAGAGAGTGGATACACTGAAGAGGATTTCCTCCCATTATGCAGACAGCTTTTGAGTTCAGAAAGACACCGTTGCATTTCAACCAGGTTCTTAGATAAAATTTCCACTTCCTTAGACAGCTCGTAAGTTTCCTTTTCACTTTGTAAGTTCTTTCCTTGAGGCAAATGAGGAGGCTCCAGTGGGCTAGTGTGGTCTGGTGTGCTGCTGTCTCTAGGCAGTGTTGCTGGCTGGATAACAGGCTCAGCATCTAGGGCTATGGAGCCATCACAGATACTAGACAGAGGACTCTGGATTTCTTTAATAAGTGTTCTTCCAGGCCTTCCATTCTGACTACTGGCATTAGCTGCCAGCAACAGCCCTTTGTTCTGGTGACAAAACTCTGGGGAAAGACTTTCAATTAACTTTTTTCTATTTCCTTTATTTAACAGAGCACTGAAAGTAGAGTAGGTAGTCTGGCTTTCACTTGATGTTATTGAAGGTTCTTCTTCCAACATTACTTCTCTAACAGTCAAGCTAAGGACATACTGATCAGACTTTGAAGAAGGAATAAATGTTGTATCAGTGAGTTTTTGTTTTCCTACCAAAATTAGTAATAGTTGGTCTGTCAAGAAACATATCCCTTTTGGTCTTTCAGTGTTCTCTAATTGAATTTGCTGGATGTTTGGCACTGAAGATGGAATGACAGAGTAGATCAAAATTATATTCCAAGTGTTGGAAGCCACTGCCACTACCTGTGCTTTAAGATTAAATGCTATCAGATCAGGAACCAGAATGCCTGGAATAGTGACTTTTCTTGTCATGGTAACTGCTTTCTTAAAGGTCACCAGGACCAAATGTGAAGAATCTTGGCCAGTTCCTGTCAAGTAGTCCTTTTTTCTTAGACAAATAAGAGAATTATCCTCAGACTTACAATGATTGAAACGTATGTGAGTTAGATCCAGAGGTTCTAAATAGGAAGAAGAAACTGATATTTCAGAATTTGTTTCAGAATCAGCTGCCTCTTTATCCACAGAGGGTACTTCACCAATAACTGGTAAAGTGTACAGAGTCGTGTCTTTACTGTTAGGTGGGACATTAAACGTTTCAGATGCATTTAAGCCACAGATCTTATCCAGTGGAAGCTCAGTGGCTATAGCAACCTGTGAGTCCACAATTGCTGTGATGGAGCAGATGTGGCTGTCCACATCAAACACCAGGCAGGAGGAGCACCTGTGAAGAGTCTTCTGAGCACTGTCCCAAATATAAGAAAGCAGGCTGCTACCTATTGCGACCACCAGCCTCAGGCCATCCTGAGTCCAACATGCACAGTGAATGCGGCCCTGGGTGTTGATGTCTGCCCTTACCTGGGAATTGTCAGAGTGCACATTAGGGAAAATGGAGACATCCTGTGCAGTCAACACAGTCAGAATAGCATATTTTGGGTGCCACACACAGCCCTGGGGAAGGATAGGCAATGACCCTCTAATCTCAGAAGTCTGAGACGTCACCCATTTGTTTGTCTCCATAGGGCTGGGACACAGCTGCCACACAGTGACATGCCTCTCATGCTGGACAGCGAGCAGAACAGCTGTGCCAGCTGCAACAGGTGGGGCCCAGGACAATCCACAGACACATTCGAATTGTCCAATGACTTTGGAGTCCCCAAACTTGACCTCTCCATGGTGAAGCTGTAAATCAGTTAGGACAACTTGATTCCCATCAGTCCAGGCAAGGCCATGGATCGGGTGCACTGCTTGATGCAACGCATTCAGCCCAGTCCTGAGTAGTCTTCCTTTTCCCAACTCCATCCTTCTGATAAAGGTTACCTTAGGCCTCACCGCCTCACAAAAACACCAGTTTCCCTGAGGCAGCCCAACATCACGCCGCAGGAGATCAGAAGCTCTGGGCAGCCACCGGAAGCACCGGCCCTCAGCCCTCCGATAGGTGAGCGGTGGCCGAGCACGCTCCCGAATTCTTCTGTTGGTGTTTTTCTCCCAGGGAAGCAGAGACAATAAAGAGTTTGCTGCTTTTAATGTTTCTGCTTTTTATGTTTATTATAGTGCTCTGCTTTTAGCAAACATCCTGATATACTAAAAGTTTGCTTTATATTTAACCTTAAAAATTTCCTTGGTAACCTCGCCCTAAAAACTTGCCCTGGAATTATACAAATGCCATTCAAACATCTATTTGTGCTTCTCTCTTTTTTTCACTTCAACTGAAAATATACTTCCTCTAAAATGTACATTTGCAATAGGAATATATTACTGATGATGGAAATAAATTTCCATGTAAATTCATATTGTCCTTCTACATAGTGAAATGACAGCTTTTTGGAAGTCACGTGCACACAGCTCCCCAGGGAATCTCACATCTATTATCCATTTCATGTTTTCTGAAACTTTCATGTCAATGTCCATACCCTTCACTTTAGATAGATCTCTGAGTCTCTTGGTACTACCTATGCACTTTGGATCACCCAGGGGTTTATCTAAGACTCCTCCTGAGTAGATGACACACTAATATGTGACCAGTAATTGAATTTTTGACATATGCAAAAATGTTGTAAGATAAATAAGAGAGAAAGTGCCTTAAATAGATATCTAAAAGAAGGGAACAGATGGACTCTTTGTGAAGATGTTTGGATAAAGCCAAAAAATGACAAACAGATGGTTCATACGTATGGGGTAGGTTGACAATGGAACCTGAAGCTAGGGGGGCATAATGCACAGAGCTCCAGCTTTTCCTAAAAAACTGAAGTTTGAACTATAAGAGGAAAGCATTACAGACTACATGAAAACACAGACAAGCTATTAAAAATGTGGCACACTCAATTCGTCTTCCTGGAAACCTCCATTTACATTTTATTGTTTGATCCAGAAATAAATAACTTACATTCAAAGATTAAGAAAAATTTTAAATGGGAGGATTACAGGGTAGATAAAATTCAAATATTTCAACTGGTACCCAACTGCTTTGCCTTGTTTCATTTGCTTTACAAATTAAACCTTAAGAACGTTTAAAATAAACTTGCTCATTTCTCCCTGTAGGTATATATTACTAAATATTTCTACTTTTATAAAATATATAGCTTTTTTTTTTTTTGAGCAAATGGAGTCACTGAGCTCTCCTTTTAGGTAGCACTTTCCATGTTGAATAATTCTCAACACAAGGAAGCAAACATGTTTTCTTTTTAAAAATAATTGCATAGGCAGGTCTTGAATAATTTACCATACATGATACAGTATTAGATTTAAGTGCCCATCCTGCCCACTTCCCTCTTACTTTTACTTTAAATCCTAATTCTATTCTTATTTTTAGTCATAATCATTGTTATTGTTTCAACACACATACATTCTGTCATTTTCTCGATTTACATGTGTTCAAATTCACATATATGGTTTTTATTAAAGCCTTAATTTAATAATTTTTGTTTACATGTGTTTTTTTCTGTTAACAACATCTTAGGGATTTATACAGATATTGCTCTCATTTTGATTAAGAACTACATAACATTTCATAAAATGAAAGTACCATAATCTATTTGTGGAAAATGTAGCTTATTCCATTAAAAAAATCTATTACCTGCCATGCTTCCTCATGCATACATGAAGAGATATATTTATGGTCATGTGTAAAAAAATAAAAACAGAAATATTAAGTGAAATTAAAAATATGTAACCTTTGCAAGATTTCTAATAGATGATAGTAAATTGCATTTAACAAATTATTTTCTAACCAAGATTACAGGAAAACATCATAACCTGATCTCCTACCAGAAATGAATATCAAATTAATCTTGATTTTACAAGTATTAGTATGATTTTACAAATATTAGTATTATAAGGGTTGTTAGTTAATGACAACAACTGTGTATAATTTGAACTGTTAGAAAATTGTTTTCTTATATCTGATACAAGATTTCCCTTTAATATTGATCTACTGATCTTAGCTCTACTCTTGGAAATCAATGAGAAAACGCTTCTATTTGTTTATGTAACAATTTCTCCGCATCATTAAGACAGCCATGATGTCTCTTTGAAATGTTGTCTTTTAAGACTGCATTCCTAGTTTCTCTAAGTTTCATTAGAATAACTTGTTTATCATTTCAGTGTCTCTTCTGCAAAGCATTCTGGTTTTTTGGTTTAGCATGCAAAAATAATATTCAGAAATATAAAGTAGTCATATGGTAAGAGACTGAATCAATTGCTAAGGCCCTACTTTAAGAGCCATCCAGATGTTACCTGTGTCTTCTATGCTTACCCACCTCAAAGAGATCTGAATAATATGGTACAAATTTTAAAGGATTGCATCTCTTTTTCTCAAGACCTGATGCATGTATTTGTGTTGCCTTTACCATTTAGGCAAGAAGGTTGCTATTCAAGGCTGTTCTTTATCCCCATTTCTGCCATCACCCCTCACCAGAAACTATATTAATTACACACACAGATTAAAACTGCCAGATTTTATTTCAGTTCTACTTCACTTGCTCTTTGGAGGCCAACTTCCCTTATTTCAACCCATCCTTTTTGTTTCTTCCTGGCTGCTGTCATTTTCCTCCCACATTTTTCCCATTAATCTCCATATTGTTCATGGGTGTTTATCATGCTATTCCATTGTAATTAACGTCTCTGAGTTATGAAAGAGAGCAGATTTATCTCTGTTTCACTTAAATGTGCTTTATCCCTGAGTAGCATGACACGTGAAGAGATTGACTTGGCGGATTTGGAAATGGAAATGAGACCCATAATTCTTTGCAGCAAATATGCCTGATTCTAAATTTAACAACTCTTTTAATTTAGGTTTCAATTGTATTCTAAAATAACTTTAGGTTCGACAGACATTTTAAGTGTCTGCTTTGGGTCAGGCATAGCGCCAGGAACTCTCACACTGCATTGTTATGTTAACAAAACTTATTAAGTATATGAGAGTGAAACTGTGGAATGAAAACTGCACTTTGCATCAGAGAGAAAAGAAACAACTTATGTTTTACAAATTAAAATATAAAAATGCTAATATTTTACATGTGGATGCTTTTGGATTTCAAACTGCTTGTATACATTTGATCAAGTGATACTAATTGCAATGTGGTTGAATATTAATAGTTTCACTTTTAGATAAGAGAAAATTGACTGTTACAGATGCTAATATCCTTGCCACTATCCTACAGCTATTCAGTGATATTACCAGGGCTAGGATTCTGGTAGTTTTCTTTCTCTCGGGCTTCCAAGACACTGGCAAATCACTTCTTATTTTTTATTTCCTTATCCTAGGAGTCTCCATAATCAACAGAAACAGCAAATGAAGTTCTCTACTTATTAGTATGCACAGGTTTTCATTATTTTTAACAAAATAAATATATTTTGCTGAAACTTTCTAAAATCTTTGTAATTTTCCTTAGTAAATCAGGTAAAAAGGCGTTGTGCCTTTTTTTTTTTGCCCAACATAATTCTGTATTTCCATGAAGTTGGCTTCTTTCAGTGTTTATTTTGCTGAGCTTATAGTCTATATATCTTTGTTAAGTAAATGAATATAGGGCTTCTATTTTTCATAAATAATTTAAAGCATGGTCCCAAACTGACCTATCTGTATATTTTATAACCTCAAGCCCCAATATTCTGATAGTATTTACTGAGTACCCATTTGATTATAGCACCATATTTCCTCCATGTATATTTTTATTCAGTATTTTGTACATGGGAGAAAAAAATATATACATTAAAAATACCAACTGTTTTATTTCTTCCAGTTTATCTTTTTCTATACTGATACAGTTCATAGCCTTGTAAATTCTAATAGCTACATTTTTTTTCATTCTCTTAATAAACTCTTTTGATTAAACATTTTGCAATTGTTGAACTTCATAGTTATTTTTTTTGTTGTTTTTTTTTTTTGAGATGGAGTCTTGCACTGTCTCCCAGGCTGGAGTGCAGTGGCATGATCTCAGCTCATTGCAACTTCCGCCTCCTGGGTTCAAGAGATTCTCCTGACTCAGCCTACTGAGTAGTTGGGACTACAGGCGCCCACAACCATGCACAGCTAATTTTTGTATTTTTCAGTAAAGATGGGGTTTCACCATATTGGCCAGGCTCGTCTCCAACTCCTGACTTTGTGATCTACCCGCCTTGTCTCCCAAAGTGCTGGGGTTACAGGCATGAGTCACCGCACCTGGCCGCATAGTTGATTTTTTAAAGCAGGGACTCAAAGTTTGCATTTCAACTATAGTAAAAGTATGTTACATACCCTTTTTCCTTTTCTTGCTTATTTTTAGCTCATTATATGAAAACTGTTATTGATATAACTTCAAAAAACTTGCATGTGTCTTAAATATGTTTATATAAATTTACAGCAGTGTTATTGTCATTAAATATTTTAGGGCAAGGGACAGTTTGTATCCTTATATCTTTGTTCTTTCTTTTGTAATTACAAAATGTCTTCTGAAAGTAAAAACATGGCCAATAGGTCTAAAGGCACTTTAATTATTTTTTGGAATATGATTCCTGAATTGAGCTGTGTGCGGTATCAAAGAATTGGGCTTTTCATTAGTCAGGATGTTTGTCCTCAATTGTTTCTTAATGATGGTTCTTGCATTGCTGGAATTTCCTGTTTCTCCTGATGTATTTATCAAGCAGGAGTTGACTCATTCTATTTTTGAGGTATATGTCTTCTGCAGGAATAAGCTACATAGGTAATTAAGCCATTTTTCTAATTTGCCTTTTAAATATGCATAATGTGTAACAACACTTTTTATTCCTGCCACTTCAATTTTGCCTTTTGAAAATACCAATAATATTGTTCTCAACAATTTCTTAGTTTACTACAGGCTTTCTTTATTATTTCATATTCTATTTAAGTGGTCATTTTTTTCTTCTATTTATTTAATCATGCTTTTTATGTGGTTATTCAAAAAAGTAGTTTGTCTAGTA